GTAATCCTTGTTGGCAAAGTTTTTCTGAGGTTTCTGAGTTCCAAGTCATAACACACCAGAGCTGTTGCACCTTTGCCCAGGGCTCTTCTTGAAGTATTTTGCAGATTGATGAGGCAGAGGTCACTGGGGCTGTGGTTGGGGTTTGTCTGCTCCTTACCTATCTTCCTACAAGCAATTCTTCCAGTGGGGCTGTTGTGCCTATGAAAGGTCAGGCTTAAAGCCTCTGTCTGCTCTCAGGCTGCACAGGACAAGCACTGGCTTCTTGGCAGCCTGGGACAGGCAGCTCTGCTCCTTAAAATAAAAAGTGGCAGGCAATAAGGCATTTAAATTATCCTGAAATGATAGAACTTGCAAACACAAAAAGCTAAAAGATGCAAAAAACCCCCATACCTAGATAAGACAGATGACACTGCTTAGGGTGAAAAATCTCTTCATGGTTGCTGCATTCCTGCAACCCCAAGTGTGTTCACTGCTGTGCACAGTGCAGTGCCAGGCCAGGACTTGAGCTTCTGGACTTGCCCATATATTCCATGCATGGTTTGGGCAGCAATATCAAATATTTCTGTGCCTTTTTTTTTTGTTTTTCTTTAACCATGTGCAGTTCAGTATGAACACAGGGTAATTAGTAAACTGCAAAGCCCTTAGATGACTTCAGAAGGAGAGTGCTGGCCAGTGGAGGCTGTGATTGCTGCGGGAGGGAGATGTAAGCCCTGTGCAGCCCAGGACACAGCCAGGACCCCCAGACAGCGGGGTTTCAGGCAGGGTGTTGAAGGCCACTTGGGTGAAACTTTCTATGGGTCTGGGACTTTAATCAGCATTAAAACACTGTACAAACACCCTGGGCAGATAAACAAATGCACGTGAAACCCTCTGGGCAAGCTGTTGGTGAAGGAAAGCAAGTGCAGAGAGAGCAGGAGCGGCACTGGCGAGGGCGGCTGCAGTCCTTGGCATGGTGTGTGCTCCCCGTGATAGAGCCTGGCTCTCCTGTGCTAAGTGAGTGCTACTGGCTCCATCCTGTTCTGCTGCCCAGATACGCTTCAGAGCTCTTCAAAGGGATAAAAATATATTTTTAACCTGAGGCAGCTGCCTTTTTTGTGTGGTACATTTTTCCTCGTAGCTCTGGAAGTGACAGGTTGTTTTTCAGCCCCTCTGTTTCTCAGCTGTCTCGGCAGAGGTGCCTAGAGGTCTCAAACCAGATTCCCAAAAATTTTAGCACTGGAAATTGGTAGTTGCTTTTGAAAATGTTGGCGAGACGGTGCAGCTCCCTACAGACGTTAAGTGATGGCCATTTGAACAGGCTTTTTCCTCAGCCAAGTCCTCGCCCCATTGAAGCAAATGGGAATTTTCCTTGAAAAAGGCCATAAAGAAATCGTTTCCTTGGCAAGTAGAGAGGTGTTTCATGGACTCTGCATCAGCATTCAGAAGAACTTCAGCTATCTGCTTAGGTTCCTGCCACACTTGTCCCACCCTGCGCAAAGCTCTCTTACCTTTTGATCTGAAATAACACAGGAGATGTTTTCCACATGCTGTAAGAAAGAACTATAAAACAATTGTTTTGGAGTTTGGCACCACTCCCTTACAGATATATTTAGTGTGAATTGAAATTGGTCAGTGAAAAGGCGTTGGTCAGGATGACAGATAGATTAGAGCTCTGTATCTTGAGGCTATTACATACCTGCCCATCCCCTGCTAGTAGGGTTGGTAGGTGGCTTCATTAGTTCATGGATTGTAATAAACAAGCATGACTTGCAGCTTTTGGGCAGCATTAGAAAGCACTATCTGGCTGTAAGAGGGGTTGTTTGGCTTGTGTCATGCTCTGTGCTGTCCTGACCTTGAGTCTTTTTCTCTCCACTCTTGTTGCTCCCTGGCCCTTTTGCTCTTTTATATGTGGTCCATCACACCTGGTTCTCAGCCTTCTCCTTTGAGTGCACCTTGTCCCGAAAGAAACATGAGTGCTCTGCACATGGGGCCAAACTCTCATCTCCCTTTCCCTGTGATGAAGCCACCCCTGGAAGCTCCAAGTCAGGATAGCTTCTCTTAAGAGCAGCACCAGATTTGGGAGAAGGAAAAGCAGCGATGGGGCTCTGCCATCAGCTCCAGGTGGACCAGTCCAGCTTGGCAGCAGGGTCAAAGGCATGGCTCACCATGGCTGACTTGGCCTTAGAGAGGAGAGCTTACAGTCAATAGCAGCTAGACCTTCCTGGCTGCTGATCCAGTCTTGCTCCTGTGATGGTGCCTGGGGAGCCAAGACCAATCTCTCCTTGTCCCTGGGTGTGTTCACCCACACTGGCTTGCACACTCCACTCCCATCAGTGGTTTTCTTTGGGCTGATACTTGTTAGCATTGGAAAGTGAGAAAAATGAACAAAAATATTATCAGAAGCAGGTTTTGTGAATGAATCAGCCGACAAGAGGCTTACCAGCTCGCCTGCATTTACTAGCACAGTGCTTATTTGGGCAGATGTCGATGTATTTTAGTTGGAGGCAGGAAGGAGTGAGAATGGATGGGGGAAGACATCACTTCCAGTTTGCTGCTTTTCTGTCAGTTTGTACCATCTTTTTCTGAATGAAGCAGAGGACTGCAGTGTGTCTGAGAACCTGCTCTGCTGCTGCCCTTGTTCTGCTGTTGTTGACAGTGTGGGGGGCAACAAGGAGAGGAGCACAAAAGAGGTCAGAAGGCTAAAACTCTCCTAAGCCAGCCTTGCCTCTCCACCCTTGCCCATCTCTTCATGGTGCTTTTTTAGTTAATTCTCTCTAAAGGTGGCCTCATGGCCTTCTCTCTTCTCACTATGTGTTTTTAATTAATGGGGAGACTGGTGTATAAACAGAATATTCCTGCTCAAAATATTGCTTGTCTGACTCCTAGGATGATGGCCAGATGGCAATCACCAGACAGCAGCCTAGACTTTGAGCTCGCCCATCTGGCTATCAAACCTGGTCTCAATTCTCATCTGGAACCAGAACTGAGGAAAGTAATGGACTTTGCCAGATTGGTTTTGCCCCGTGTTTGCTTTTCAGTTGCTACCTAAGCAGCTAAAAACCTGCAGACCAAATGCATTTAGTATTTCTGGAAACTTGTGAAGAAGTTCAAAAAGATTCTAGACAAATTCACTGAGGGATGGGTCTTTTGGTGGCTTTTCAATCCTGTGGGTCAGATGCAGTCTTCAGCCATGGAAGTGCCCTTACTGCTGGTCTGCAGCACAGACTGGGAATGGTCCTTCTGCCCCCAAGCAGCTGCTGATGGTCTCTCATGAATGGCAGGCTGGGCTGGATGGCTCCTTGATCGAGCCACCTGGGCCATCTTTGTATCAGTTTGCTGCATGTTTGCTGAGTAAGTTCAGACAAAGCTCTTTTTGCCGTTTCTCCTTTCCCCCAAGCTTTTCAACCCCAGCTTGGGGTTGAAATACCTGACAAGAGCTTAGAAAGCTGTGGCAGAAATAAAACACTTTCTGTTACGATTTTTCACTCTGTCATGACAGTAGGGCTGTGCTGACAGTAGGGATAAACATCATCATGCAGAGTCTGAAAAAAGGAACTGTCAACATGTGTAAATGCTCTGTATGCTTGGTCCTTGGAGAAGCAGGAGAGATCCATAAATTAAGCACTGTTACGTGAGCTAAAGCATTGCTTGCCCTGCCTCATGCACAGTTTGATATGATTTCTTTACCTTTAGATAAGTGCCTGAGTTCCATAATGCTGGAAAGCTGAAATTAGAGGTGCCAAAGAGTTCTGATGCTGGGAAGTTGGGTGCTACAGTTCTTCCTTGGCAATACTGAAAGACACTTCCTGTTTGTCACCATTACTGGAACAGCCTGGTCTGTCCCCTGGTATGGTACCTGTGGAGCTGCTGAAGAAGTTTTGTATAGAGAAATACATACCGAGACATACAAAGCCTGGCCTGGGTTATTGCACTGGGAGGTGATGTCCATGTGTGGGTTCAATCCTAATTTGGGCTGGAACGGACCTCTGGAGGTCTTGCTTAAGTCCAAGCTTTATTCAGGGTCAGCTTCAATATTATATTTAGCTATAGTATTAGACGTGCTTGCTCAGTCAGATCAGAGCAGGCAACAAGGAGTGATCAGCTGTCACCTTCTAGCTGTCTGGACAAAACAGGAGGAATTGAGATCTGTCCTCATTGCCACTGCCAAGTCCAAAGAGACTGGTGGCTGCAGCATTGTGACAATTGTGTCCTGCTGTGGCAAGGTTTACTCTCACAAATCCCTGGTGAATTGGGAAAATGCATAAAGCACAGCACAGGAGATGGAAAAATAACAGAAATCCCCAGATTTCTTCTAACTGATTTTGAAGTGGCTCAACTAGCTGGGATCTTGTGGTGTTTAGCAGTGGCAGGGTTGTGACTATTCCATTGTCAGCAGAAGTGGCCAAATGCAGAAGTAGGTAGAAGCTAAATGAGTAACACAGTGTATGAGAAACAATGAGAAGGATGGTATGGCAAGGATGATGATCACTGAAATGGCAGGATCTCCAAAGGATGTTAGGGTGGCCACATAGCCACAGTACAGAGGTGAGGTATTTTTGAAAGCAGAGCTGAGAATTTATTTTAGCACATGAATGTTGAGTAAGTATTCCTGGAGATACTCTGGGGGATGACAGATGGACTCAAGGTATTGTTACTAATCACTGTGGTTTTAAGTGTTGGAGCTGAAGTACATTTGGCATCTCTAATCCAACTGGACTTCTAATGGGAAAATTGCATTCTTGGGAAGTAATTTAGAAGGTCACAGAAAAGCCAGAAAGAACTTCTCCAGCAGCGATTTCCCCTGCTCTCTAAACTGTCTTTTAGAGTGGTAATAACTCCAGAATGAAAGAATCTATTCTCACCTTCCAGATGAAAGGGCTAATGCAATTTAAAATTTTTGCATGCAAAGATTTTATGGCTTGGTAAGCAGCCACGTCTGAAAATGATCCAGGGCAGGATGAACATGTGAGGCAGCGCCTGACTGAGCTGGACACTTTCCTTGTCTGCCCCGTCTCCTGCAGATAATGGTGATGACCGGTCTGAGAGCATTCTTGCTGAGAACCACGTGGATGGCACCGTGGGGATCCTGAGTGGAGCTGGAGGGAGGAAGCCCATGAAGACGGGCATGAAGGAGCTGGCAGTGATGAGGGAGAAGGTGAACGAGCAGCAGCGGCAGATGGGCAAAGTCAGCAAGGCCCATCACAACCACGAGGACTCCAAAAAGTCACGGCTGTCGACAGGCAGGGTGAGAGGGCAGGGCTGTGGGGAGCTAAGGGGGGCAGCTGTGGGCTCACTGGGAAATGCTGACTGCAAAGCCTAAGTGGCATCTGCAATAAACTGTTTTAAAAACAGAAAAAAATAAATTGAAAGAAAAAAGTGGGGAGAAGTAAAAGAGGAGAAGCAAACATTTTTTGCCCAATGCTGGGGCTGAACACACCATCTGATGAACTTTGATATGCTGGTCAGGTGGCATTATTTTCATTGCAGCTTCACCTCTGGAAGGGGGGCTTCTGCTGGCTGAACACCCACCTCTGCAGGGGTGCAAGCATACTCTTTGCCCATAGATTGACTTTCTCACACCCTTTTTCCCTAAGCAGGAGTGTCCCAAGAGGATTTGAGGGGCCAGAAGCAGGGCTGTCTGACTGCTCCAGGGCATGCCCAGTCCAGGTTAAAGGAGGCCACAAGCGCCGAGGATGACCTGTGTGGCTGTCCTGTAGTAGGGAGAGTGCTCTAAGACCTCCCAGTCCACTTGCCTGTCCCTGTCTGTTACTCAGTTCTTGGCCGTGGCTTCCCTCTAGTGGGAAGTTTGGTCAAGGCAACTAGATGGGATGGAAATGTGGAGATTGAAACCCACCCCAAAGGGTCCACAATACACATCCCTGTAAACACACAAAGTATTAATATCTGGGGAGCATGGGGACAGAAAGGAGCTTTAAAAGAGTCTTCATGCCTTCCAAAGACTAGGCAAAACAGAAGTTCAAAATAAAACGCAGGCACCATCAGCTTTGAGAGTTCACACACTGCTGCTGCTCCTTTGCAAAAAAAACTCCTCACTCACTGCAAAAGCAGAGAGGTGTGGACTCAGTTTGGCTCACATCAGGCGTATTTCAACCACACTGCCTTGGCTGGAATCCCTGTCTGGGAGCTGCTGTGGAGCAAGAAGGATGCTTCCAGAGGCTGGTTTGGGGTACTCCCATTCCCATCCCCTCCACTCCTATGGAGTCTCACATGCTTTTGAGTTGTACTTCTGGGCATCACAGGTGTGTGCTCTGGGCTATGCTTATGGAAACTCTCCTGATCTGTCTGGACTAGCCCTGCTTCATGTCACTTGTCACCACCAGTGGGAGCCATGGTAGCCTCTCTGAGGTTTTTCCTCTGTATCCAGGACTTGGGACCTGGTATTATGTTGGCTCTTGGCCAGGTCAGGTACATGAGGGACGTGCATGTCTATGCACAACTCTGATTTTGGGTGCCTGGTGGTGAACTCTGGAGCAGAACCCAGTGGCAAACCTTTGTCTTTAGGGATGCGCATGTGTTCATCCTTACTGGTGTTCCCATTGTCCACAGTGTTGATACTGAGTGGTACCAATGTCCTGATAATACATTTTTTCCCCTGCTTTCTGGGCTGTTTTCAGACCCCTTGTCAGCAGGAGCTGGATCAGGTCCTGGAACGCATCTCCACCATGCGGCTGCCAGATGAGCGAGGGCCCCTGGAGCACCTCTACTCCCTTCACATCCCCAACTGTGACAAGCATGGCTTGTACAATCTCAAACAGGTAAGTGGGGAGAGTGGGGGCTCTGGGGCTGTCTGTGCTTCCAGCAGCAGCCCTTGGCTCACTTCACTGTCTGTCCCTACCATCTGCAGACATGGAACATGCATAGTTCAGGGCTGGGCTGATACCCTGTGCATGATGTCAGGTGTGGGGTAAATAGAAAATGCTGCACATGGCATGGACAGGTTTAGTTACACCCCTGTGTATCTGCACCCACTAGTTTGCAAGTGGAGATGAAATCCATATCTACACGTGGCTGCAGGCAGTCCAGAGATGGAGGATCAGTTTAGTTCTTCTTCCCCATAAGAACTGCTTATCTGTCCAGGTATATTTTCTTGAACTTTGAGCCAGATCTTGTCCTGTCTGGGCTCTGCCACAGGAGAAAGCAGGGGGAAGAGGGACTGAATACTGACCAGTCTTGCAGACAAAGCAGAAGGTGCTTCTGGGAGTCAGGAAGGTTTCTACTGTACTTTACTGGTTTTCCTCCACAGATGGAGGCTAGTCCCCCAGCTGCAGGAGGGATTCCTTCCAGGCAGGTGGGGGTTGGGGTGCAGCATGCTTCTGAAGGTATTTATGGGACCCAGAAGAACTCAGAAAACTTGTGTATCTGAGTTCTGACTTCCTGGCTTCATTCATGTAAAACCACCAGGTGTCAGTGGCTGAGGAATGGGAAAAAACTGCCAGGAAAAACAGCAGGAACAGCTGGTGCAGGGTTGACTGGAGTAATCTGTGAATAGTGCTTGGATATGAGGATTCCTTATAGCTGAGCCTTTAGAGGGGACCCATGCTGTTTTCATGGCTAGGCCTTTTACTCAAGGCTACTTCTACCCCTTCATCAGAAGCATTAAATTAAAAAAAAAAAAAAGATTCTTTGAGAGAATCTCCCTTGGTATGTTCTCCTGTCTTTGTACTACTGGGGCCCTCACCCACCTACCCCTGAAGAGGCCCATGGGCTGGCTGGATCCCCCAGCATGACCACACTTGGAAGGGCTGGATGGAGCAGAGCTGGCACATTGCCTGTAAGATGAGCCATGTCTGGGGAATGAATGGCACAGCCCCTGGGGAAAGAGGTTCAGCCCTCACCCTGGACTGCTGGAGTAACATGGCTGGTGCAGCATAGGCCCCGGGGGGCTTGAGTGCAGCATCCCATGGATTTTGCCTGAATATAAACTCTAGTGCCAGTTCACCAGAGAAACCCCAGCTCTGCCAGTGCTGGGGCTTTGGGCTGGGTGACCTGGGAAGTGGTTTGTTTTCTCCTTCTCTTGATTCTGACATGTGTCCTGTCACTCTCCATGCAGTGCAAGATGTCGGTGAATGGGCAGCGTGGCGAGTGCTGGTGCGTGGACCCCATCCATGGGAAGGTGATCCAGGGTGCACCCACCATCCGCGGGGACCCCGAGTGCCACCTCTTCTATACAGCCCATGAGCAGGAGGACCGGGGAGCACACACCCTGCGGAGCCAGTAGACAGATGTGATCTTGCTGGCTGGAGGTGGCTCACTGTGGCCCCAGTGCTGGATTTTACATGGGTTTCAGCGTGTCTCTTTAGGCTCTGGAAGAGACTGGGTGCTGCCCTCCTTCCTCAGCTGCCTGGTTCCTGGGGAGGGGAGGGATAAGGGGAGGGGAAGGTGGTGGGGGGTTTGCAAGGAGAAGGGACTGCTTTCTTAGTCTTTCACCCAACATAAACCAGAGAACTGGTCTTTTTTGCTCCTCGCCCTGCAGCCCTGCCCTCCCTGCTGCTTTGCGGCATCTTTCTGCACCCTCCAGCACAGAGTGCCATGTGCTCCCTGACCCCTCCCAGGGGATGAAACCCCTTGCTATGAGTGGGAGAGGGTAAAAAAACTGAAAGAGCCCAGCCTTTCCCCCTCTTTTTCTCTCTTCCCCAAGACCAAAGACTGTAAATACTGTCACCTGCCTCTTGTGTCCTGCCAGTCAGTCTCTTGTGCCCCAGCCCAGCCATCAGTCCTGGCATGGGATGTGGTGTAGGAGGGAGGAAAGGAAGAAAGACCCTGGATTCCCAGCTTGAGCTTACCACCACAGCTGGGATGTGTTCCCCCAAGGAAGCAGCAATGAGGGGAAGGGCTAAAGATGAGGGAGCTGCCACCTTGTCCCCTAATAACACTCTTGGGTGCTTCCTTTGCTTGTGCTGGGGCACAGCCAACTCCACAGGGGCCCAGCTTCAGCCACTGGTGTGGGAGCATGGGGTCTTTGGGTGATAGCAAAGCTAAATGCTTGTTTTTCTAAGGGATTTGAAGGGCTTTTGCACAGTATTTCTTAGGATCAGCTTATGCCGAGGGAGCTAAAATGAACTTGCCGAGGCTGGGTGGAATGGTGCGTGTGTAGATTTAGGATAACAAGCCAGGGAATGTTTCTCTTTCTCTCATTCATTTTTTCTTTATTTCTAGATAGGAAAAAACAAAACAAAACATCTAAAACCTGCGTTCCCAAGCAGCTGCCCTTGTCCCTCCATTTTTGCCTGGGACTGAAGTGAGCATCTGTTATTCAGCACATACCTTTTTCTTTTTGTAAGTAAATTACAGTATATATCTTGCTTTGTAAAGGCCCTCACACACACACACATGCAAACACACACACAGACACACACACACTCTCACACTTCTCTGCCCACATACACATTTGTATAGATGAAATCCAAGTGATTCCAGGTGCTCTGAGAGGTTTTGTGCTGGACATGCTGAGGAGAGATGTGTCTCTGCTGTTAATTCACCTGTTGATTTCTTTCTGTACAGAACACACTGATGCTGAGAATAAATAACTTCCCCATTGCCTAAGCAAGGAGGTTTTATTATTTTCTTTTTTTTTTTTTTAATATGGATGTCCTTATTATAGCAATTGTAAAAGCCCTGTCCTTGGAGTAAACGTCTCGGGCTTTTCTTAAATGGTTTGTTGTTTCTTGTCCCCCTTCTTGGACCCACATTTCAGATCCAAAGTGTAAAGGGCACAGGTGGCCTTTGTTAAATTAGGGCCCTCGTGCCTTTGCAGGGGTTTGGACGTGGCAGTGGAGGAGACTGGGGAAAAAACCCCTCTGGAAAGTCGGGGATGGGCATATGTGGATGTGTATGAATGGGAGCAAATGAAAGAAGAAAACACACCTCCATGCAAAACCAAGTAACTGTAAAAATGATGCTACCTGTTTTCTGTTAACATCTGAGGGTGTTCTGCTTTTTCATATAAAACTTGCACATGCTGGCTCTCACCTGCAGTTTGTACTTTGTTTTGTTTAGGAATAGGGAAGTTCTGTTATTTGTTTGCCTTCTTCCATTTTAAGAAAGCCAAGCTACATAAGGTTGGAATAAATTAAATAGGATTCCAGAAAACTGTTGTCTTTCCCCTCCACACTGCTCACAGGATGTTTCTTTGCCTGATGCATCACACACAGATTTGTCCCTCTTCATCCTTTGTCCATGACTGACAGGCAGTAATGGGAGCTGAGCTTTTCATTGTTATGGCCCTGGTTATGTGGGCAGGGAGGAACTGTGTTACTACTCCTTTGCCTGGCTGTATTCCTGCTATACATGGGTCCTTGTGAATCTCTTGGGAATTGCAGGAAGCTACAGGCTCTGTGTGTGACCACAGCTGCTCCACCCCTGTGGCTGTGGAGAGGTCCTGCACCTTCTCCCAGAGTGACAAGTGCTGCCAAAGGGAGTGTGACAGCAGAGCTTGGTGTTTGGGCATCACAGAGACGCAAATAATAATAAAAATTAAAAAAATAGTCCACACTAAATTGAATTAAAATTGCAGCATTGAAAGAGAGACTCTTTGCTGGCTTTAATTTCCTGCATCCAGCTGGCTGTGTTTTCCCTTTGGACTTCCCAAAGGGAGGCAGCACCACTGGACTTGTTCCCCTTCTGTTTTCTTCTGTCTCCTGCCATGAATTTCAGACTGACACATGTTGAGGGACTTGCCAATGCTGAGGAGCACCTGGAAACTGTATGGGGGCAGGAGGCAGTGAGTGCAGGGGGCTGCAGGGGAGGGGAAAGAGGACAGGCATTATGGGGGGTGGGATGGAGGCTGAAGAACATGGGAAAAGCAAAATTACCGTCCTGTTTGGTGCCTCTGGGGTGAACTGGAGGTGGCTCAGGTGATGCCATGGGGGAATGCTGAGTAGCAGGGTGGGACACAAGGGTGCTCCAAGCCAGGTGCTGCCCAAAGAGGGCTGGAGGTGACAGAGGTGCCCAGAGCCCAGCAGTGTCTGGGGCCACCATCCTGTTCAAGGGCTGGGACAAACCCTTGAAACAAGGGGAACAAGCACGAGCTCTATGTGACACCTTCCACTAGGCCAGGCTGCTCCAGGCCCCATCCAACCTGGCCTTGAACACTCCCACAGCTGGGGTATCCACAGCTTCTCTGCCCAACTTGGTCCAATGCCTCATCATCCTCATAGCAAAGAACTTCCTAAAATTTTTAGTATAAAAACCTGTACAATATAAACAAGGATATTTAATATAAAGAACATCCTTAGTGTAAAAATGTGTCTGTGTATAGCTGTAGCTACTTTTACACGTGTATACAGCTCCAGCTGTCCTTAGGGATGTGATTTTTCAGCCCGTGGCTGAAGGCAGCGCTAACTTTTTGCGTGGAAAGCCCCATTCCAGCGCCTCCGCGGCTGCAGGCGGCAGCCCCGCGCCCGGGCCCCTCCTGAGGGTGAGGCGGGCGGGCCCTGGCGCCGCCTGGTGGCGGCTGCGGCGCCGCGCGGCTCCTGCCCCCTGTGCTGCCTGAGGGGGCCGGGCTCGGCCGTGTGGGGTGTCCGGGGGAACGGGGTGTCCATCGGGGACGGGGTGTCCATCAGGGACGGGGTGTCCATCGGGGACGGGGTGATGTGCCAGCTCCACGTGCTGCAAGATAGCTGCGGGATGCATTGTTAGCGCAGCCCTGGCAACCCGCGGTCCTCAGTGCAGGGGCAAAGGGGATGATTTCGCCTCCGGCCCCGGTCTGGCCGCCCAGCTCTGGTGATGCTGGCAGGTGAATGGAGGGGAAGAGGGGCACAGGAGGAGGGAGATCGGGGGGAGTGGGAGAATGAAGGGTGATGGTTGCCTGGGCGGTGGGGCAGGGTCAGATCCAGCACCGGGAAGGGCAGTGGGATGAGCCACCAAGAGCTGCCAGAGAGTGTTTGAGGACCACGGCCTGGCTGGGCTGAGCAGCTCCAGGGATGTTCCTGCCGCTGGGACATCGGGGCAAGTCTTCCAGCAGCCCCAAGAGGTCTGAGACAGCACGTCTGCTCCCAAGCTGTGGAGCTCAGTTTGAGATAGCATTTAGGGGCTTAATGTCACTGGTTGCTCGGTACTTTGCCCTGGTAAACTGGTTGAATGTGCACTGCCACATCCATGCAAATAAAATTCTAAAAAAAAAAAAAAAAAAAAAAAGATAAAAAATTGTAGCTCTGCTTGCAGGAAGTTAGGCTTGCAACTTTTACCAGTCACCTAGCAGATTGTTCTAGTATGAAAAGCTCCACTAAAGCATTGCCACCCCATGCCCTGCACCTCCCTGAGCACCCCTGTGGAGCTGGCTAAGCCCCCCAAGGGACCCAACACAGGCAGCCGTGGGATGCTCGGGGCTGGAGCAGCTCACTGGCAGGCCCTGGCACACAGATGCTCCACGAGGGTCAGGCACGAGCTAACTGAATGCATAACTTTATTAAATAAATGCTTTGTCATGAGAAAAGACAAAGATCAAAGAGTAACATAAATTATAAGTTGAATAAATAGTATACAGCAATCTTCACTTTTTAATAAAATGTGAGATTTTTTTTTTAAGTACAAAATGCTAAACAGAGCATTAAGCTCTTCTTCCATTGTCAGTTTTTCACAAACTGCTTTTTTTTTTTCCCACCAGTAAGATTATGAGTATTTCTTGTTTACTGGAAAAAAAAAACAAAACAACAAAACCAAAACGAAACAACAGAGCTACCGTATGTATGTAAAGCTATAAAAAGCTACCGTAAAATGTGTAGTGAGTATTGCTTAAAGATAAAAACCAGGCAGGAAACTCGGAATCTGGTGTGTTTTAACAACTGTGTTACAACGGTGGGTAACGTGCGTGGTGACGTCTGTCCCGGTGGCAGTGGCGGTGGCTGGTGGGGCTGGGGAGGGGGCCACAGCAGGCAGGGCTCCTAGCCAGGGCCAGGACAGCGGTCTGGAAGCGAGGTGAACTGACAGTTCTTTAAATATACAATGCTCCATTTGGGGGGAAAAAAAATCAACAATGACAACAAAACAAAAAAAAAAAAAAAAAGAAAACCAACAGCGAAGAATTTTCATGGGGAAGGTGGAGAAAAGGGGAAGGGGGGAGAGAGCGGAGAAATAGTGCAAAATGCTCTTGTACTAGTGGTTTTCGAAGTCCACTGCAGTACAGACAAGGGGTAGCCCAGCCACTGAGCGCCGCTCCCTGGGCAGATGTGGTGGAAGGGCTGTCCTGAGCCATCCTTGTCCTCTCCTTCCCAGCTCACATCCTAGGTACCAACATGGGCTCAGCACAAATACCGCAGCCAGAGACCCCTGAGCCTCACGACCCCCCGATGCACAAATTGCTGGCATCTCCTGGTGTGCCTCAACCCTCCCCAGCTTCCAAATCTGCCCCTTCTGGTTCTCTCATCCTAAATGCAGAGGGGTGCTGCTGGGTGTTGAGAATGGGAGCACCTCATCACTGCCACCTCAGAGGGTGACCAAGTCCTCCTGAAGTCACTCTCAATCCCAGCCCAACCCAGGCTCCAACCCCGGTCCTAAATATTAGTGCAGCCTGTGAACAGCCTCGTCCTGCTGGGGATCCTTAAGGGAGTGGGCAGCTGGGGGGGTCACTTGGTGCCCCATCCTGGGAGCTGAGGTGATCTGGGGGGTGAGGGTGGTGCACCCCAAATGTCCATCATCCTTTCCCCCAGGTTTGTGGGGACAGGACAGGCAATGCCATCCCAGCATGGGGTGCGCAGGGGTGAGGGAGGCTGTGTGGGATGGATTTTGGTACTCTGGGCTCCCAGGGCCACGTAGATTTGCTTGGTAGGGAGAGGACAGAGCATTGCCCTGTGCTCCTTCCCAGTATCTGTGGTGGCCTCATTGTGACACCACCATGGGGCCCTGTGAGCCAACCCTCACCCTGCAAAAGTATCCTCGCCAAAAGGCAAGTTCCATGGGGGTCTGATGCCCTTCCCATCCCATCCCGGGGCACGTCTCCTTTCTCTGCAGCCAAAGGCTTTCAAGTTTTGGGAAATTAAAAAAAAAAAAAAAAAAACAAACAAAAAAAAAGCAAGAAAGAGGAAGAGAGAAGGAAGGAAGGGTCCTGGGAAAGGTGGTACTGGCCTATGACAGTCAGGAGGTTTTGCACAGGGATCAGCAAGCGGACAGTGTCAAAAATGGTGTCCAGTGGCCCTTGGGGTTAGCACAAGCTCCTCTTCCTGCTGTCTTCACCCCATTCTTCACTCCACTTGCACCCCAGCATTAATCCACCTCTATGGTTAAACCAACCCTGCTCCATCAGCCCTGCAGAGCCTGGAGGGGTCTGACTCTCAGCCCCCACCATGCTCCCCTCCAATAACATGGAATTACCCCACTACAACAGGCTTTTTTTGGGGCACATCCACACTGGTAGCACACTTCCTTCTTTTCAACATAGGAAGGTGCTTTGTCCCCAGGACGAAATGTGTTCTGCTGGGTCTCTGTGGAAGTCCACAGGCAAAACTCGCCCCCACTGTCATTTGGAGGGAAATAACCACAGGTGTCCAGTCCTGCCCTCCATCAGGGTAACGTCCTGGTGGGGAGCCCATGGGATGCTTAGGAGAGTAATGTCATCTCATGAGAGGCTGTGAGGGCTCCCAGTCTGTGATGGCAAGAAGCCTTCACCAGAACCCCTTTGTCCCATCCTCACTGGTGGGGCCCCAGTGGTGCTATGGACCTCCATTTTTCTCTGCCCAGGTCCAGGAAGCTGAAAGGGATATGGGGGTTCAGGAACCTTCCACCTGAGATCAGCTGTGTCCTTTGGCCAGTGCTGGCTGCCACCTCCAGCTGTGGCAGTCGGATGTGGTTCCCAGCGGGTGTGTTTCCCCACCACAGCACCCAGACCCCACAGCTCCCTTTCCTTTCTTTCCTTCCATTCGCTGCAGGATCTCCTCCCAGCACCAACATTGTGGAGACCCTTGTCAGGGATAAGCAAGAGGTGAGAGTCCCAAAATCAAATGCAAATGTTAAAAACAAGAAATGAGTTAGGAAGGCAGCTGAGGGCTGTCCCAGCATGCCCAAGGCAGTGGGTCTCCATGGAGCAGTGGCTGCTGTCACTCAACAAGGAGCTGGGCCCCAGGTTAAAGGCAAGGGCCCATCACAGGATCTTACTG